ACATCTTTAAAAATCCTAAATGCTATTATTTTCATTTTACAAAATTTCGATGATATTTTTCAAGATATATAGATCGAGATCTTATGATAGAGCTAAGACTTCATAACAATCAGCAGCAATTAAGAACTCTTAAATATATTTATGCACAAATGAAAAGATTGTACCTTTTTATGAAATAAATGAGCAACTTCTTATATCATTTTTATAATATCCATATTAATCATTATCATTATTTTCTTTTTCTTCTTTATACACTTATTATTGATAAAAAACTTAAGTCATTTCTTTCATGCTCATTGTTCTTGCAAGGTTAGTTGAATATTTTTTTTAAATCATGTAGAAAACGATCAACTATTAAAGATTTTCCTAATTTTCTCTGCTTTTCTATTTATTTCATATGGTATTAATTTATAAACTTCTTATAAAAATCATAACTTGTAAGACTGAATTCCTTTAATGCATCAATAGCTGCTTCGATTATTTCATTTGGAATTACAACTTCATCTATTGATTTTTATAATAACACAAGGTTACAAGGTTGTCTTTAAATATTTCAGAAAGATTATCCTTTAATTCTTTATTTTATTGAGAAATCTAAAAATTATTTGGAATTTCGTTTTCTTCTATTTTATCCCATAATTTGAAGGCAAAATCTTAATAGTTTAGTTTTTCCAAATTTTCAATAACAAGTGATGTAACTTCAAATTTTTCATCAAAATCAATTTTTTGAAAAATTTATGCTCAAACTTCTTAAAGCATCATAATTTTTTAAGCCTATCTACTCATCATTCTTCAAATACGATAAAATTTGATTTATCTATTTTTTATTCAATAGAGTCTTGTCATTAAACTCTGATTCTTCTATTTTCAGAAATTGTTACTTTAATTGCTCCAAAATAATTTCAAACTTTTCTACATCTATTGCTACTTAATTTGAAATTTGCGTTTTCCATTCATAAATTTCAAAAATCAACATTTTAACGCTTTAAATTGTAAATTTCTCTAGATATTTCGTGATTTTGTTGAATCAAATTTTCGAAGCTTGATTCTATTCAATTTATCCTTATCTTCAAGTTTGAACCATTGAACATAATTACAACTTGTCAAAATTTCACTTCTTGTAGTAAAAATAACTAATGGATTTAACCAAATCTTTAAGTTTTTCCCAATATTCTCCAACTTCATCTCATCATAACTGTCCATTATCAATAGAAATCGGAATTCTTTATTTTTAACATCTCTTTGCATTCTTTCAATTAAAGCTCATCAAAACCATGCTCATCTAAATGGAGGGCCTCCTCTACTGCTTAAAACACAGGATTTTATTAAGAGAGTGATGAAATATAAATAGGTATTAGTATTTAATTACCAATTTTTCTTTAGTGTCATATAATTTCCAAATAAATTCTTCTATTTTCTTAGCTGCAGTTCTTTTGCCTGATCCAGTTACCCCGTGAATTAATAATACTTTTTCTTTACCATCTAATAAAAACTCATTCACTTCTCCTTTCTATCATATAAATTGTCAAAAGTCATCAAAATACTTTTATTTTCTTCATTATTTTTCCCTTTCTCTGATTTTTGAATCATTTCATCATTTCTTTCATCATTTATTGCTTTTTGTTCTTCATCATCTGCTTCTTCATCTATTTTTTTTATGCCCTTAATCATCTACTTCTTCATGTCTTTCCCCATCTTCTTCTTCATGTACTTTATCATTTACTCCCTCACATCTTAATTTCCTTGATCATTTAATTGGCGTTTTTTTTTACAGGTATATTAATGAAATCGGTTATCAATTTAAGTTATTATCCCATTTCACTGATATTTTGAATATATTCATCTAATTGCTCAATAGTTCCATCCATTTCTTTCAATTTTAACTCTCTTTTTTTGAGATTTGTCTATTGGGCAGTTTATTCTTACAAAAAATCGATTCGACACAACTTTTATTACATTTCTTCTACAATTCTATCATGTTAAGTATACCAATCTTTCGACAAAATTTTTATCTTCAAAATGATTAAGTTTTAACTTTTTAAAATATTTCTAGCTTTAGGGTCTTTTTCTTTTAACCCAAAATTAGATGAGAACTTGTTAACAAAAGGAAATAATTGTTCCTGAGTAACAATCCATTGGAATCTAAATTGTTGTAAACACTAGACCCTTTTTAATTTTCTAATGGTTATTATGTTGAAAATTTGGAAATTTTTGAATCAATCTTTTGAATAAACCTTTTTGCTGATTTGATCTTCTACTTCTTCGATGTCCAATAAGTATAGTTGTTTTATTTATTAAATCAAAAAAGCCTTTTTCAATTAGGCTGTTGGAAAAATACCTTTTATAGAGTAATTTTCTGTTAAATAAACCATTAATTAATTGAGAAAATTGGGAATATTGATTGAAGCTTGTGTAATCTCTTGATCATTTACTTTTGTAGATAAATTGGTTTCTATTCTCGACAGTACAATTCAAATTTTTCATCTGTCTACTTGTCTACTGCTATAAATTAACTTTTTGTAAATTTTTATAACTCGAAATTATTAATCAATTTTGAAACACGTTAAAACGCTTTAATAAAAATTTGTTCTAAATTCTTACTTATACTGTTGCATTTGATCAAGTTTGATAGAGAAAAAATTAACTTCTTCGGGTAAATTGTTTAATAGCTCCTTCTCATCTCATAATTGAAAATTTTTTCAATTTCACAACCTTAATCATAAGTTATATAGTTTTCGTTGCTGGAAAACCTAAATGCATTACTATTTTAATTAACAACAGCACAATCCTTAATTCAGCTAATTAGCTGTTTCCTATTGGTTTGTTATTCAATTAAATTTCTTCATTTTATTTACCTTTTTCGTTAACTCTAATTTCAACTTTCTTCTAAATTATATTTTCTTATTTAGATGTAAGTAAAATTTTTTTATTCCCTTGTAATATACTTAGTTATTAACTTATAATGGTTTTTAATATCATTAGTTCTTCATTAATTACCATTTTCGTAATTTCCTTATCTTATTATCGAGAGGCTTCTAGAGTTGTATTAACACTTTCTGTTTGGATGATAAATTTATTAAAATTGCAAATCTTAAGAGATTTGTATAAATCTTCAATTTTTCTCAATTCAGATATTAAATTTTAATATTTTTCTTTAATCTTAATTCACTGAAAATAAATTTATCATTCAATAACAATTGTTAGTGATTCATCAACCTTTAAATCTTCCATAGCAAATATCAGTTTTTCAATAAGTTGAAAGGAAGTGGTTTTATCAATAAATGATTCTCCAAATTCCTTCATAATCACCTAAAAAACTTATTCCTATAAACCAAACTTTTTTTCGAAAATACTTTATTTATATAAAAGGAATTGTAAAATTCCTTTTTATTTTGATAATTTATTTTCAAAGTCTTCTTCTTTAATTGCGAAATTTTTTATTTCATTTAAATTTTATGTATCATAATCAGCATTTTATCAAAATCTTTTTGGAAAATTATTTAGCAAATACTCATCAAAATCAATAATTTCTAGTAATTGTTTTAATTCTTCTGGCTTGACTGTTGCTGATGTAGTTAAAAAAGACTTCTTTGAAACACAAAATTGTGATTTGAGTTTCCAATTTTGATAATTTAAGTTTTCTAGATACTGAAGTGAATGGTAAGCAAGAGCTTATTTGATTTGTTTAAGATATTAAATTGAAGTAACTGTCTCAATTTACTGCTTTCTAATCATTATCTCCCTCAAGTGTTAATTGTATTCATCAGCATCTATTTTAAGTTCATTGATCTAATTTTCATAACAAGAATAAAGGGTATGTAATAAATTCTAAAAATATTGGACCAAGTTATTTTGGAGCTCATTCATTTCTAACTAGGAAATTTTTCTTTCTGACAAAACTCTATCAACTTTTTAGCTACTTTTTTTTTTTTTTTTTAAAAAAAGAAAGTGAAGTTTAGGATAAGTCCAAAAAAGAAAATTTTATTTCCTTTGAATCAATATTAAATAATTCTTCCTTAATTAATTTTAATCACTACTGATATTAATCATTGTTATCATTAACATTTTATTTTAGTGATTTATTTAAATAAAATTATTATATTTCTTATAATCTTAATAGGTTGCTAAGTTTTTCGAAATTGACATTTCGATTTCTCTCTGACTCTAATTTGAACTAATTAAGCCTCATAATTTTCTGGATATTTAAGTTTGTTTGGAAATACACATCAAATTTTTGAATCAATTTTGTTATTTATTATTTAAATACTCGCAATAATATGTTATCATTAAATGATTTTTGACTTTTCAAATTTCTACAAATTTTCATTAGTTCCTTCAATTTCTCTTCATTTTCTTTAATTAAATTTAGTAACTTATTTGGAATGAGGAAACCTAAAAGCTTTTGGATAATTTTTTATGCCAATATATTTTCATTTTATTGGGTTTCTCTTCTTCCTAAATCAAATTTGCCTTTTAAATATGATCCAAATGTAAAAGGGAAATTTTGATATTATTCATTCAAAAGAAAATCTTTAAGTAGTAAGAAATTTTCCCATCCTTTGAAGCATTCTTCTAATATTAGTCTATCCATTTAAAGGTAATTAATAATTTTTTAGTGAATTAAGTTAAATGAGAGGAATCCCTTATTCTGATATTCCTTCCAAATATAACTTGACTTTGCTCCAGATTTGTGAGTTTTAGTCAGCTGATAAAATTATTGTTTTACTATTAAAGGATTTTATATTCAAATTTTCCCTATCACCTACATCCAAAAATAATGATATTTCCATATATTTGAATTGCTCACAATATTATTATAAATTGTCTCAATACGAAATAAAATTTCCTATAAATCTTACAAGTATTCATTCTTAAAATAACTAATTATCTCTTATTATATATAAAAATAAACTTAATAGTATCTCCATTTTTTATTTTCAATAGACAAATTGTACAGTTGACAGAGTGAAACAATGATTCAAGCAGTTCCATATTTGGCTTCATTTCTATTAAGGAACTAATGATCCCTTTTAAGCATCCGTAAAAAAGTTTTTCCCTTTCGCTCCTGTTTGCTGGCTCCATTTAGAAAGAAGTTTTTGTTAAGAATAGATAGAGTTCCATTTAATTTTGAATCCAATCATTTTTTCTATTTCCATTTATTATCTTAATTTATCACATATCTCCAACAATTCTTGTTATAAATCACATTCCATAAATCTCTTTTTATTTATTAAATGGAAGCTAAATATGACTTTTGATAGAGATGCTGTTATCTATAAGATATAAAAACACTTAAACGGGTCTGTTTGAACATAGATCAAGGAGCTTTTCAATAATTCGCGGATTCCAAAAAAAATCAAATCGTAAGATTTGGCGACACTTTTGGAACTCTTGTTAAGTTTGCAGATGTTATCTTCTTAATAGATAAACCACTGTATTGCTATCATTATTTCCTAACTTTCTGACTAATCAGCAGCAACAACAGCTTGAGTACAAATTTTTTGACATAGAATCTGAATTTATTAATGAAAGTATAGATGTCTTAACTATCTGATTTTCCGATTAATTGTTCCAGTGGGCTTGTTCTAGGAAAACAACAACCTCCTCCACTTAAAATGGATTCTTTGTAAGACATTGCAGATGACTTTTTCTCAAATTTTAAATAATATATCCATACCGTTATAAAAAGCAAATTTAAACTCAGGGTTTTGTAAATACTCAAAAATATTTTTAATATATAAATGATAATGCCCAAAAGGAATTAAGCTATAAAAATATTTGAAAGAATTTCTTATCTATTAACAGTATATTTTTGGCGAAGCTGATTATAAATTCTAAAGGTATTAATCTTCATTATGAAATATGAAATCTTATTTCTCGAAATTATTTTAATCCCAGGTTATAGAATTTTTCTTTTTTTGTTCGTAAAACAAGATTAAAATATTTTATGATGCCCTGTTTAGCAAAGGCAATAGAAATTTTATTTTTTATTTGATTGCTCCCACATTTACATCAGATACTTTTCTAGTAGAGTTCTAAAATAATTGTTATTAAAATAAAAGGATAATTCTCTGATTAATTCAAAAAATATTGAATCATCGTAAAATTTGCAAATGTTCAGGTATTTTATTTCCAACTTACTCCATAAATAATCTAAATTTCATTTCTTGTAATTAATTTGTTATTCTAATTCATCATTAAGAATAATTTATTTTTTACTTGGTCTCGTAATTCAACATTTAATTTAAATTTATGTTTGCTTTTTTATCTTTCAAAATATAACTTACCTTATCCAAATTTTACACATCTTAACAATTTCTCTTTGTATTAATTGCTGTCTATCAAAAAAAAGATTATTGCTCTTGTTATTTAATTTATAGCACCTAAATAAACTTATAATATTATTAATGATATCTAATAATTAGGAAGTTCAATTAAGTCTTTTAGGATAATCTAATATCTTAAGAATAGATCAACATCATCTCTGATACTTTTAGAAATTCAAAGCATTTATTAAAGAAAGTTTTAAAATTATAAACATAAAATTTAACAATGATAAATATTTCATAAATTCTTTCCTGTTTTATTTGACACTCATACTAATATCTAAGCTATTTCTCTAAATAAGATAATCAAATAAATAATAATATTTCTGCTGATATTCCTTTAAAATAAAATATAACTGCTAATACCTTCTACTAAATTTATCAGTATAGTAATTGGTCCATTATAACATACTCATCGAATAAATCAATAAACTTCAATTTTATATTTCATGGTAAGAAAATTATTATCATGTATTTAATAAATTGTTTATCGGCAAGCAGCAAAATTAATTTCAATTATACATAAGAAATGACATTAGGATTTGTTATTGATAGCTTTTATCTTTTTAAATATTCCAAATTCCTTCAATATTGAAAATTGAATTCTTCAGAGAATGGAAGCATTATTAAATATTATTGATAATTATGTTGAAAAAGAATCTTAGTTATTATCCTTAATTCTTTACCTTAAAAAATTCAACATTTTAATGAAATTAGAATATTATATGATTTTAAAACTTAATATATATATTTAAAATCACATAACATTGTACTATTGTTAATTTTAAGTCTTTCTCTGTAACTTTTTCACATTCATGATTTATCTAACGCCCAACTAATTCTATGCATCAACTTCTTTAATTTATAATATTGAATTTAAAAGAAATTGATCTGCTGATGTAAGCTATGATAATATTGCAGGATAGTTAATTTTTAGATATTGTAAAATGTTTTAAACTATCTAAGTTTATTAATTTTATGACATTATGTAAGTAGATTCAAGATCCATAATATTTGGTTTTTCAATCTAATTCTCTTTCTTATAGTTTGACATCTCTTTCAAATGTAATTCTAGTTGATTGTCTTAATATTCTAGATCAAAACTTGGAATTGATTTTTCCATCTAATATTCATAATAAATGTTACCTGCTATGAGAAGTTTGGGTTACCAATTTTTTAATGAAAAGATATTTTCTCAATGTATGCAGCATATTTATTAAGAAAATTATTGAACAATTATTCAATTATCTAATGTCTATGTTATTCTTCATATAGAATGTTAGAGTTTAAAATTAGGAAGTGAATGATAATAAAATAAAATTTATAATTGTAAACTGTTAAGGCTCTTCCAAAAGTCAAGTTTAAATAACCACTTGTATTAATAATGATCTATCTTAAATGTACATTTAATAATTTAGAATTATCCATGATAACTGGCATAAATATAGAAATAAAAGTTTTTGGTAATATTTCTTTCTATTACAATTATAGCGAAAGAATTTTGTAAAATTATTCTGTCAACAATAAACAGCATTCATCTAAATTATAGTACTGATAGAATATTTAAACCAATATTGAAATTCTGATATTATCTTCAATTGAATAATTTTTTTAAAGCTCCGAATAAACAAATTTTAACATCTAGGATTTTAATTATATTATATACAATTGATATCCACTAAGATTTTGATTTTATCACCTCAGAAGCGTGGATCGTGCTTTACAAAAATAGTCTAAAAACGCTCTCAATTGTTAATTTACCTTCCTTTTCCATAATAGAAGGTAAACTATCAAAAATTATATGTATTATTTCTGTCAACCCCTTTGTATAGGTAATGAATTTAGCGCCAGCATCAAAGATCTCATCTACAAATAACAAATTCTCTGGTTGTAATAATTAATTTAATATTTAAATCAATGTGGGTTCTATTTAGGCCTAAATTTTTTTATGTAATATTTACTATATATTTTTGTGTATATGATTAGGATAAAATAGTATCAATAATCTTTATACAACTAAAAACGATTGATGTGTGATTAATATATTATGTCTGATTCAAATTGATTTTTTTACACCCTAAATCAATTCTTTTGGCAATCGCTTTCATTATATCATCAAGATAAGTATCTATGATTACATTACAATTCTAGAATACAATTGATGCAAATTCATAATATATATCAAGATCGCATAATGATAATAAAACACAAAATTCATGATGTTAAAATGCTAGTGAGTCTTCCATTTTGAGTTAAATATCTTAATTCTATATGAGATGAATTAAACATTTGACTGCAAAAAACTTTACTCCTCTCTTTTGCTTTGTTTAATTTAAAATTCCGAAACAGAATTTTATACATTTCGTAAAAGATCTATCAGAACTAGAGAATATTAAAGGTAAGACTAATTTAATGAATTCCATTCCTAAACATTTGCCAAGAGAATCAGCTTTTTTTTTCATATACTTTAGGTTCTGTTTCAAAAAATATTCAATGCTTTATCTAACATCTTTTCTTGATGTAAGTTATTTATTTAATATACAAAATGATAACATTATTGCATTATATCTTATTTTTGAAGAACAAGTAAAAAAATTACATTAAATAATTTCTTGTTATAATTTATTGCATAATGTAGTTTCTTGAATCACTTCAAAATGAAACAGCAACAGTTCATTTGCCAAATCATAATAATTTTTTAAAAATCCATCAATATTTTTAGAAAGTTTATCCAAAATTTATGCTATTAAACTTTTAATTGTGTCATTCTAAATAATTAAATAATATTTACATCAAAATTTATTATAGCTTAGATATCCTCATAAAAATTTGTAGAATTTTCATTAAAATTTTCATGATCATAATTATCAAAGATTAGATTATCAAAAATGACATTGAATAAAAATTGTTGTTAATTATTTAAAAAAAAATCGTATGAAAAGGAGTAACTTAAACATTCGTTTACAAATTATAAAACTGATAAAGATGTTGAATGTTCAAATTTTTTTTCCAAAAATGATTATATAAGAAGAGGTAATACTTAATTTGTCAATTATCCTAAATATGGGATTTACTGCTAATCAAATTTTAGTTAAGCTTGAACTTATTATTAATTTTTGATGAGTATGCTTAAAGATTTGACTAAGTTTGAGGTTATTATTTAGTCTTATAATAAATACATCTATATGAATTTTAATAAATGTTGATCTTAGGATAATATTAACAATTTTTCTTGTTAATAACAATTGTATTTTTGAATGCATATAACTATGATGCTACTTAAAGTTTTTCCAACCTAAATATCAATATTTGCATAATCAATATATTACAATTATTGAAATATTTGTTCAATAATCATTTAAAGTTATTAATCCAATGTTCTAATGTCAAATAGAAATCTCAACAATTAATCCAATATAAATAATATTGATATAATAGAAATTGACATTTATTAATGGCTACTAGCTAAGGATTACGACATTTATTGTAATAAATAATCAAATAACTCATTTTTCTCTTAGAATGCCTCAAATACTATTCCAATTAGATGGGATATAAGTTTATTATGAGATTTGAAATATTTAATACCTAAATGAATAGATAAAGAAAATATAATTTATTAATCTTGTTCTGATGTAATTTATGATAGTTTTCTTAGTTGCTAAGTAGCAAAGATAACTAATGATTTAAACCTTTAAGAGTTGTATTTCTGAGGATTCATTTGCATAATTGAATCAAAATGGTAAATTGTTCTCATGATCATAATTAATTTTAATGAGAAATTGTTCTCCATGTATAAATCTACAGATTATTAATTTTCTTGGTTTGAATTAACTTTTGCAATATAATCTAAAAATTGATCTAATTCCACAATGGACAATCCTTCAGCTATAGGTTGGGTAAATAATTAGAGTAAATAACTTTAATTCATGAATATAATGCAATTAAAATATTATACTTAAATTTAGTTTGATTACTAAACTAAAATACTTTAACTCAGAATATAAATTGTTAGAGCATCAATTTTTATCAAATATGATAATCTTAAAATTGATTCGCTAATAAGTAATGTATTTGAATATTTAAATAATATTTATTATGTTTTTCTTATTTTTGATTATATCAATGTGAATACCATTTTGCTTATCCATTAGCATCTTAGATAACTAATCGGCCATCATCTTACAAAATCAATACAAATGGGGGAGCAAAAATTCCAAAGTTTTGCCCTGACACCCAATATGGTACTCCTTTGGCATCAATCATCTATAACTCTCCTGAAGGATCAAATTTCAACCAAACAGGTGCAAGAGGTTATCGATTAAAATTAATAGCCTATTTTTATAAGATTTGAATACCGAGAAAATAGGTTATCTTGTCTAATTATGGAAAATGTATAAACGGCCATCATGGAAGAAAGACAATGTAAATTATTAATTTGGACTTGTTAACATGAATCCTGATGTCATAGTTTTCCCAGCCTATATTATATTTTAATCATCATCCAACCATCTTAATCTATTTCCATGAGCCCAAACTCCCTTCTTTTTGGCTCCGTTCACAAATGTCCATTCACTAGATATATAAAATTCAGTACCCGTTTCCATGCATATTATTATCAACCCATTATCCATCATATTGCTATCTATTATTCCATACTTATTTTCCTTATCCATTTTTT